TAAACTACTTCAGTCTGTGTGCATTGAATTGATTTAATACACGAGTTTCACAATTTGAGTTGAATTACTGAAATAAATGAACTTTTCCACGACATTCTAATTTATTGAGATGCATCTGTATGTATCAGAAAATTATTATGGAGGCAGCTGATGTTAATGAAATAATTTGCAGCTTTACTCGCAAACTACATTTCTGTTCATCAATAAGGTAAGAACCAGAGCTATTATAAACCTAAATACACTTGATTAAATTAAATTAATTGAAAAGTGTAGTGTAGTAGTAGTAATAGAATATGTTTGCGGTCGTAATGATGATAGTAGCGCACACCAAATAGTATCTTTTCCGTGCTCCAGCGCGGTTAGCGCCCACACTGCATGCGTACCGCGCCCGAGCCCAACCGAACCGCTTTTATAGCTGACAGATATCGCAAACACGATGAAGTATTAAAAAAATCTAACTATTAATACTCACCATTTGGTTTTTTCGCAGCGACCGCTTCAATATCGCTAGTGGGAGCCGCCATCTTTCCCCAAACAAGTGCACGTGGAGTGAACAAGGCATTACTCATCGAACACAGAGCTGATGTGAGCAAATCAAGTGTCGATACCATCGATATGAGCGATGTATTGAGACGCAAGGAAAAAGTTTTCAAACATTTTATGCCAAGGACGCAAGAAGCAAATTTGATCCCATTGGAAGGGATCTCTTCCTAAAATAATAAAAAAAAAACAGATATGTATATGTATCAAAAATCAGATATGCTGAGTGAGAAAAGTATTTATTAAGCAGACATTACCCTCCTTTCTATGATTAGAGTCGTGGTTCAGTTTTAAAATGTAATTTAGTCTAACTGAAAATGTTTCTTATTAGGTTTCTCTCAGAAAAAAAAAATACAAAGCTGTCACTGGGACTTTACACTTACTTTCAAAAGGTACTATTATGTACAGTTTAGGTAATAATACATAGCCTAATTTTAAAGTAGCCTACTAATAGAGTAGTCCTATGTACATTTAAGGTAGCCTACTGATATGTACCGTTTAGCGGTAAAGATACAAAGATGTACCATTTAGCTTTTGTACCTTTGGGTACCAGTCTAGTGACAGCTTTGTACCCTTTTTTCTGAGAGTATATGTGTAAACATGAAGTGAAACATTTTCAATTCAATACCTTTTAAACGGAAGGCAAATTTAGTGGAAAATATTTTTTTTTGTTCTGAAATATTACATTTCTTTCCCTAATCTCAAATTTGTACATTATGTAAATGTATAAAATTAATAAACTAAAATCAAAATATTTTTATCATTATTAAAATATTTATATGTAGCCTATACCATACTAATATTTAGGCTTACTTTAGGAAATAATATGTACCTTTACGGTTTTACTATGCACCCTTTAGGGGTAAATATGGTACAAAGGTCTATCATTTCAAAAGGTACCACCCTAATGACAGCTTTTGTACCTTTTTTCTGAGTGTGTAAATATAAACAGCAAAGCAAGGTTGTATTCAAGGTCTGCCAGCCTACTAGAGACAGTAGGGGAGAAAAGCAAGACACAAAGACACACACACACACACACACACACACACACACACACACACACAGAGAGAGAGAGAGAGAGAGAGAGAGAGAGAGAG